AAATATAACCATATTGTTAAATACTATAAAAAAAATTAAACAAAAACGTTTTAAGCATGTTAAATTATAGGCAATGGCATCATGCATATGGTTGCTAATGATTTAAGCGGATTAATAATAATTTTTCTTTTATTTAGCGTAAGAGATTAATTTAATTTAGGTTTGACTTGTGGGCACGTGAATGAATATATAAAGGAATGCAAGAATATTATATTTTATTATATAATTTAAAATAAAAAAGATCATGTCATGTAATACACTATAACAATATAATGATACATTTAAACAAAAAATACATATAATATCACACATGATATCTAAATAAAAAAGTTAATTACAATATCTTATATTATAAATAAATATTCTGAACATTGATTAATACACTTTTTGATTGAATATATTATATAATATATTTATTAAAAAATTATTATTTTTTGATATAAAATAAAAGACAAATAAACTTTAAAATATAATTATTCAAACAAAATATTGTAAAAATTAACATATAAACTTTAATACAGAACTTATATCTAGTTTAAAACTAATTAATAATAAATAAAATATTTTTTTAATATTTAATATTTATATTTTTTAATATTTTTTTAACTTGAGATGTACTCACTTTGTTAAGTTCAAATTGCCAAAAAGAAACACGTAGATAAAATGAACTAAAATCCGAAAAAGCTATTCCTCTAAAAGCTGAAATGTACATCGATTATGGTGCAAGGGGACACTCACCACCTGGCACTCGCGTAGACATTCTCAACTCTATGATAAATATTATTTAATTTTGTTCAGTTCAGCTCCTGATCTTCACAGCAAACCCTCCACATCGCCGGACTTCCACTTCTTCCCAACGACAACACAAAGAGAAATTAATTAAGAAGAAAAGAAAAGAAGCAAAAGGAAAGGATTTTACCACTATATTTTGGGGGCAAAAGATTGAAACGTCCCCCGTTCATAGGCTTACCATCCTAATATCAAAATCTTGTTATAAAAAACACATACAAAAATAATGCTCATTCTCTTGCTCATCACCCTCTCCCCATAAACACAAGTGATCTAAGCTGAAACCAACTAATGAGCATGGAATTTCTCTCCATGCAGCAACATTGAAAGTACCATCTGAGCCTTCCATGTTTTCTAGCAGCATGCCAAAATGTACCCCTAATCTTACTGGGGCACCAGAAATGTGTGCAATCTTGGGCTATCTCCAGCTGAGATCACAACTCCAATGGAACACAACTGATTTGCTAGCAATCATCCTTGAGAAATAACAGTTAAAGAAACTGAGAATGAATTTAGTCTATGAAAAATAAGAATAGTAAGAAACTGAGAAAATGTGAAGAGAATAGGAAGAAGAGAGAAATGAATCTGAAGAAGAAGAAGAGAAATGGCATAATGGCAGGAGAACCACTATGGGAGATATATATATATATATATATTAAAACATTTGTGTCAACCAATATGATTTGTGTCAACATTGCTGACGTAAACAACGATTTTAGTCAAAATTGGTCGGAAGATTCAGCGAGTTTCAAAAATTTTTGAAAATTTTGTATCAGTCTACATAAGTGTTAAGTTACTAACTTAAAAACTTAAAAAAAATCTAACCATATGATTTATGAAAGATCTCATAAAAAAATCTACTTCTCTAAATACAAAACACCTCATAAAAAGGATTTATAAACCTACATATCAATATATTAATCCTTCTACCAACATCACATATTTCATCCAAATAAATAAAAAATTAAACTTCATTTGCATATTAATTTATGCACAAACACTTGATATAAGATGTAATTTTAAATCTATTTCAATCCATTCAATCTCATATAAGTATGTATAGGTAAAAATAATAAGTTCAATTGATATTTAAGTACTATTAAATTTAGAAGCATGCAAAATACAACAAAAACAATGTAACAAATCCAATATTGGTTAAATGATAATTTTGGACCACAACTTTACAATTTTGTAATTTTCGTCTCTCACTATTGGTTAAATAATAAGTTAGAGCCTAAAGCTCGATTATATTGTTTTTTGGGTTATGGGATTACACATAAAGGATATCGTTGTTGGGATCTTGTGTCACAAAAACTTTGAGTCTCACGTCATGTTGTCTTTTAGGAACACACTATGTTTTCCTCATTATCAAACTTCCAGGTGTCATCTTTTGATCAACCTCCACTTTTTACTAACCCTTCTATTGAGTTATTTCCTAGTGACTCTAATGCAAATACATTTGATGAGCTCCATGATGCCTTTCAACATTCTCCATCTAATTCTATCGAAGATGTTCTACCTGCTGGCAATGTATTAGACAATGCTGAGTCTTCTTCCCTTACCTCTTCTATATCACCTATTGGATCTAACCCTGTTGATCTTAAGCCTGAAAATGAGATCCTTAATCCACCTTCAAGTCATCCTACTCAGGTAAGAAATCCTCCTAGCTATCTTTGTGATTATCATTGCTTTCCTGTTATTACCTCATTACATGAGCCTCAATCCTACCAAGAGGCCTCTTCTAACCCTCTTTGGTAGCAAGCTATGCAAGATGAATTACAAGCTCTTGACAAAACCTATACATGGGATTTGGTTGATCTTCATGTTGGAAAGCCTCTAGTAGGTTGTAAATGGGTGTACAAGATCAAAACTCAATCTAATGGTTCCGTGAAGCGTTATAAGGCTCGTTTGGTTGCTAAAGGATTTACTCAGGAATACGGGATTGATTATGACAAAACCTTTGCACCTGTTGCTCGTCCTACTTCAATTCATAGTTTGATTGCTATTGCTACTACAAAAAGATGGAAATTGTTTCAGATGGATGTGAAAAATGCCTTTCTAAATGGTGATCTTGCAGAGGAAGTTTACATGAAACCACCTCCTAGACTTGAGCATCCTCCAAACAAAGTTTGCCGATTAAAGCGAGCTTTGTATGGGTTGAAACAAGCACCTCGAGTCTGGTTTGCGAAGTTTAGTACCACCATCAGTGAATTTGGTATTGTTTCTAGTCCTTATGATACTGCACTGTTCTTATGCAAGACTGATCATGGTATGGTTCTACTACTTCTTTATGTTGATGATATTTCAGGTATTCATGATTTTAAGCAATTTCTCAGTCATAAGTTTGAGATGAAAGATCTTAGTGTTTTGAGCTATTTCTTGGGCCTTAAGGTCACCTCTTCTGATGATGGTTATCTTCTCTCTCAAACAAAATATGCTTCTGATCTTATATCTAAAGCTGGAGTCACTAACAGTAAGACTGCATCTACTCCTTTTGAGCCTAATGTTCAACTTACATCCATGGATGGTTCTCCATTAATTGATCCTACTCGCAACAGACGATTGGTTCGAAGTTTGATTTATCTCACTACAACACGACCAGACATAGCTTATGCAGTTCATGTTGTTAGTCAGTTTATGGTTACACCTTGCTCCACTCACTATGCAACAGTATTTCACATTATTCGATATATTAAAGGTACCATGTTTAATGGACTTCACTTTTCTGCTCATTCATCTCTTAAACTTCGTGTTTACTCTGATGCTGATTGGGCTGGAGACTCTAATGATCGTAAATCCATCACTAGATATTGTTTTTTCCTTGGTGATTCCTTAATCTCTTGGCGTAGCAAGAAGCAGACAGTTCCATCATGTTCTAGCATAGAGGTTGAATATCGAGCACTTGGAGACACCACATCAGAGTTACTTAATTTACGTTGGCTACTAGAAGATATGGTTGTTTCTTAACTGCTTGCTACTAATCTTTATTGTAACAATCAGAGTACCATGCAGATTGCTCATAATGATGTCTTCCATGAACGCAGTAAACACATTAAGGTTGACTGTCACTTTGTTCGCCATCATGTTGCACAAGGAACTGTTCATTTGGTTTTATTGGCTCCGTTGATCAACCAGCAGACCTTTTCACTAAAGCTCATTTTCCTGGACGGTTTCGTATACTTCTTTCCAAGTTCAAGTTAGTTTCATCACAACCACCTTGAGTTCGAGAGGAAATATTAAGATGTAAACATAATAATTTAAATTATATTCACATTTATTGTAAATATTTTATATTTTAAAATATTCTCTTTATATATTTTATATCTCAGAATATTCTTTTTGTAAACATCTATATATAAATCATTGTACATACATTATTATTTAAGAAAATAATAAACTTTTCTTCAAATATTTCTCTTTCTTTTTCAATTTCTAATAGAAGTGTACACATTTAATTGTCTATCATTTACTAATATAATTATTTATATTATATTTATATTTTAAAAAATAATTATAATATAAAATAAATAAGACAGTTTATTTAGTAAATAATAATTAATTAAAGATAAATATAAAATTTTATTAATTAATTATTATATTTTATCTTATAAAAAAACTAAACCTACTTGTAAAGTCAAATAGAGAGAATAATTTTTTTGTATAATTTCTATTTTTTATATAAATATATGCGGTGCACGTGTGATTATTGAAATGGATATTTTACACGTACGATCGGAAATGGACATGGGAGGCAGCAGCAAGCTCAATCGATAACACAACTGGTACTGTACATACCAAGAAAACCGTTTTCAACGAACATGCCCAATACTAACTACTACGTGGCATTCCCTCTAAGGTTAGCGGAAGTGAAAGATAGGTGTAGGCCATCGATCGGTTTAATTCGGCCTAAAAGTCTAATTAAATACCCAAAAAATAAAAATAAAAATCTTCAAGTAAAAAGTATTTATATTTATATATTTTTTTTATATAAATAAGAGAGTTAGTGTAGTTGATTATTCTTGAAGTACCAATTGTGATCCTGATTTTAATTAAAATTTAGTTTACAGTTAGTTAATATTAACTCAATTTATCAATTAATTTTAAATATAAAACAAAATATATTTGTAACATTTATTATTTTCTAAAGCTAAATTACATCATATTTTTATGCGTGTGCTTACCGCGAGGTATGACTTTTCAAGCAAATGACAGAAATTATATAGGAAGGAAGATCCGAAGATGAAGAAAGTCACAGAGAATATAAAGAAGGAAAGGAGGAGGTGAGGGCGGAGAAATAACACGTGATGTGGGGTCCTCTGAAGGGTTCTATGGTAATTTTTGTCTTCTGTACGGAAAACTGTTTATTTAATCCAAAAAAATATATTTTCGAAATTTTCATTTACCTTCAGACAATACAAGAAATGTAGTTGATTTTTCTGTTTTATTAAATGGAGGATCTCTTCGTACTTTCGTAGTCTCTTCAATGTAGTTGACATCAAATATCCCCGGTCTCCAAATCTGACAACTTGGGGAACAAGAAACGAGGAACGCGCTGGACGCGAGTATCTTAACTCTAAAGAATTAAGACTACAGGAAACTGAATTTTTAGATCCAATGATTTGATCTTAACTTTTAAGTGTTTGAGTGAAGTGGTCGGAACTTTTAACTTTATACCAAAACTCCATCAAAAAGTGATTCAATGGCCGCGTGCCTCATTTGAAGGGATGAAATGTTCATCCGTCTTGGAGATCGAATCTCCAATTGTTAACAATTAATTTAAACTAACTTTCTAACTATTAACATTATCAAAAAAAAAAAAAAATTAAGACAAGAGAGAATAGGGGGCCCATGAAGTCCATTGGGTCCCCGCAGAATCGGCCGAGAGGAAAATTCAGAGCAATCTCAAATTCTCAATGACTGGCCCAAAGAGCTCTAAGACAAAAGAAAGACAACTTTGTTCCAAAATTATAAGAGGTTGCAATCCTATTGATTTGATATGATTAGACCCTGAGGGCCCAAGTACGTCTCATCGCCGTGCCCACCGCCGGCCCACCCCCGTGCTTGGCTAGTCTCTGCCGTGTTTGGCGGCACAGTGGGCGTGCGGGGGTCCCTCAGTCAGACGACCTCCACCGGCACATCCTCCTGTTCCACGCGTCACTTTCAGGCCACATCTCTTGCCTTTAGGGCATGTGCAATTAAGAATAAAAAATTAACTTTAATCTCATTATCATACGAGATTAAAACTAATTTTTATTTGACAGGTTCATACAAAAAAGAAATACTAATCAAACCAGCTTCATTGCCGAATTATGGGGCCGCCAAGACGGTTTAAAAGTGGCACACTCTCCTGGGATTGACAGGTTAATTGAAATGGACTCCTTGCTTGCATGTCAACTGATTCAGGTAAGGAAGGAATCAAAATTTTGAAGCTGCCTCTGTCCTCCTCGCTGACATCTTTGCTCTGCTGGATGCTTTCTCTCAATGCCTGGTCTTGCATACTTTTAAGGGAGGGGAACTCATCTGCTGCAGATTTCATGGCTTCTCTAGATCATAATGTTGTCACCGGGACATCAATTTTCCCAGAACCACCGGCTCCCGGCTGGGATAGGCTTTAATTATCCGGACTTTGGCATAAATTTCTAGCTTCTGATCTCCAAAAAAATTTAAAAAAAAAGACTCTTAATTTTCTGTGATCTCAAGAAGATAAAAAGAAGAACATTCAAACAATTAGACGTTGACTCCTGATAGTAGTGTGGTACATTTAATGACTAATTAGTATTCCTTTCAATTCGCCAACAACAATTTAGCTGAATTAGCTAAATTAATATCCACTAACTAATGTTTAAAGTCTAGTCCAGTGATTGACCCATTTTCCTCATTAGGTCTAATTCAACTAGTTGAGTCAATTTAATTGATTGAGTCAACTGATCAACTTAATAAATATTATTTAATTTATTTTATTAATTATAAATTA